CGTCAAAACTTCCCTTTTGTTCCCACTGAACAGTGAGATCAATTTTAAGGCTTCTGTTACACTGATATACTTAGTACTCATATTGTCTGACCTAGTTACTTCCATCCCTTGTATCTCCAAATTGGAATGGCGGGTGGTTATAGGAATTCTGAGCAAAAACTCACCCTGTTAGTTTCTTCTTCTTGGCTGAAGTATCTCATGCTTCTTCACGCATGTCTGCTGCTCCCTCCTGCAGGGCTGCTTCCTGCCGCTGTGCTGGTGAAAGTGTCGCCTCATGATCTACCCAGACTGCCTGATGACTTCGTCACTTTCAGCAAGGTCCCTCCTTGCTGGCTGCTACCCCCTCGGAAGACGATACCCAGGCTGGTGTATCTCTCAATGCTGTGTCTCCTTGGAGACTGGCGCTGTTGCCTCTTGAATGGTCGCTTGACTTACGCGGCTTCCTCGTGCGTTCCCCGGATGAGGTGCTCGTGCTCTGGTTCGAACCCTGGACTCTGGTGCTATGTAGAACCACCGCTGCTGCCACTAATCAGTTCTCCACCGCACATTCCATGGAGGCGCTGATACTGCTGAACACTGCTATCCGTGTCGTGTACCCCACACCTGACACCAGTTTTGTCGTATGCCACACTGTCGGGCAACAGAGTGGATACTCGTACTTGTGGGTTGGTCTTCACGGAGTCAGTCAAGCGGCAAACGTTGTCCGTCGTTCTGGTGAGATGAACTGCTGGAAGATGCTTAATTCAAGAGAGTTCAATACACAGTAAACATGTACAACTGTAACAACAGCAAGTCTGCTTAATGCTTTAGCAGTGGCCGACTCCTAACTGACAAGAGTACCGTCCTATAGACTAAACTTCGTAAACAGATTAGAGAGTGTTCTGGACGGTTTAGGTCAGGGTTCTTATAGCCCTGTCTGTGGGGTGGGGGTTGTGTGAAAGCTTCCTTGGAAGGTACAAAGTTCATCATATAGGAATGTTCTAGAACATTCTATTCTTATTCCATATGGTGGGTCTTCCTGGACATTGGCTTGTTTTCTCGGGCTTTAACTGATGTTTTCCAGTTTCTCTGTGAAGCAACATGACTATTCTTATTTGCTTTTCTTAGTTCAAAATAAGTCTTGTTTGCCCTCTGGCAGATAACATTGGTGAAAGTCGAGTTACAGTATGTGACAAGCCAGTGCTGTTACATTTCATAATTTCCAATATATTAAATTTGGATTTGATAAAATATTACTTATAAACTGTACCCATTGTAATTATTCTATCCACCATATACCTGTTACATTGATAATATCTAATGCATCACACCGTCATATACAACAAGGAATCTGAAGTCTGATAATTGTCTTTCACAGCATTCTGTTCCAGTTTTATGACGACTCACGATTGAGGTACTGCATTTTTAAAAGGAAGCAAAAATTATAACGTAAAATGTGAAACTAAACTCCGTGCCTTTTAGTCCGAAAGTGAACCATACCGACCGAGAGACCGCCCCTTGTCAGTAAAGTTAGTGCCAACTTTAAATGCTGCAGTGACAAATTTAAATGTCTAGGAGACTTTCATGTGCCACTACAGGAGAGATAAGAACACAGAAAAACTATTTGACTGGTTAACCCTTTGACGCAGTCATTTAAATTCCGCGGCCGCGTCTCCGGCGGTAATATATTCAGCCGGCCATTTAAATTTTGCTCGAAAATGATTTATTCATCATTGTTCTTAAATTCTATGAGATAGGAACATGAAACTTTCACTAAAATGATCTTAAATGGTGGTTTTATAACCTTACCTTATAATATGGGCGCCCTGTATCTCGGCCATGGAAGCAGGTTGTTTAGTATTTGAGCAGTGAATGGTACGCCTTGAAGGATGAAACTTTCACTAAAATGATCTTAAATGGTGGTTTTATAACCTTACCTTATAATATGGGCGCCCTGTATCTCGGCCATGGAAGCAGGTTGTTTAGTATTTGAGCAGTGAATGGTACGCCTTGAAGGATGAAACTTTCACTAAAATGATCTTAAAAGATGGTTTTATAACCTTGCCTTATAATATGAGCACCCGGTATCTC